GTTTCCTTCCACAACGTGGAGAACAGCGTCTACAGCATCTGAATGACACACAGGTCTCCGGTGACAGGTAGCTTGTACCTGGGTCTCTGGTCGTTTGCAGAGACAAAATTCTCTCAACCCTGAGGCCTGCTCAGCTTAGGTGGAGGCAGACCTACCATTTTGTTTCAGGAACTGCTAAACACGCAGGACAGTTCAATCCAACATCGTGTTCAGTGCCTGCAGGATGTACCACGTGCCTCACAAAAACTGTGCATTCCAGAAGGTGCCTGGGAAGAGGCTACCTGTCTGGAGAGCCAAGCCCATGCAACTATTTCCAGTACCCATCACTGCTGGTTTTCTGGTCTCCAAGATGCACCGGCTTGAAACCTGATGCTACCATCAGCCCAAAGCTTTCTCCATCACAACGGTGGCATTGGGAGCACCAGACAGCGGGTCAAGAGGGTTCCAGCTGTTGCTGGCTCCCCTGGACCTTGAGAAATCCCTCTTTGTGCCCCTGTCTCTCCTTCCTCTGACGCCCCCTTGGGAGCCTTCCAGGATCCCTGCCCAGCAGCGCTGGCTCCTGTACTTTCCCGACAAGGCTTTCTCTCACCTCACAATTCACATTGGCGAGCCCACGGTGCACGGCATGCTCACCTCTGCGGAGCTCTCGGCACCCTGCCCTGTCCAGTGCTGTCTGCTTGCCCCAAGCAGGCTGAAAGCTTCTGAAAGCCAGGCTTTGGGTCTCTTCCCCTCAGACAATGCCTGACATTTGTAGACACTAAAGTATCTGCTGAGTGAGGTGAGCATCTTCCTCTGTCAGACATGGGTAGGATTCTAAGGATGAACATCCTGTCCACATGTGGGCTGGCAGGGGCTCACTGACACACGTGTGAATGAACGTGGGCACTCACGTGCTCTCAGATGTCCCGCTGCCCAGGCGACCACGTTCAGCACCTGCCTACCTGGTATTACGCGCCGGCTGCCTCTCTAGAACCTGAGCTGCTGGAGGGCTGCGCTGGTGTTGTGTGTGCGTTTTGTACCTCCACAGCCTTACCAAATTCGATGGGCATGGGGCACGTTTTCGCTAGAGTATATACTGAAATGAAGGTGAGTACAAGGTCAACAATAGTACAATATAAGCGTGAAACTATTTAACAGAAAAAAATAATTTTTGCCGCTAGGCACTATTATTAATATCATCATTGTACATTTACTAACTTCTACGTACTGACCACAACACAAACAGTTCTTGATCTCTGTGAATGAAGTTACCAATAAGTTCTTTAGAAATGTGCTTCTTATACCCACAGGGAATTAACTGTCACTCCTAGCAAGAGTGACTAGCTAGAAAATGACTATTGTCAACTGTCTCTAAATGCATAAGGACTCCATATGCTTTACATATAACACCCAAACATTTGCAATGCAAAAGTACATCCATTCCTCGGAGCCTGACCACAGTTGCTTGCCTTGAAACTTCTTTTGGGAAAAATTGATGCTCAGAGGGCTTATGATTCATTAAAGTTGCTGACCAACTCAAATACTTAACTGCCAACCAGTCCTTTCAGAGAATGCTCCTTTCGCTCACCTTGGCACAGCTCTGCCACTATGTGTGCACCATGTGGGAAAAGTCCATGGCTCCTGAGAGCTGTGCACACATGTCCTGAGATTATGAACATGTGTCCTGAAGGGTGGCATAATATGCCAATTCTTTAAAGCAGAACTTATGTTCACTGGGTTCTTACTTGTGGGATTCTTAGGAACAGACGCTCTCTTTCCACGAGGCGCTTGGAGCTGGGCTCTGAGTACAGAGCCAGTCCCTGTGTCACCCTTTGCTCCCTGGAAGACAATCCCACAAATGCTTATTCACTACTTCACCCTAATGAAAAAGCTGGAGGCAGTCTGAGGTCTGTGTAAGCACGAATGTTAGAAAGGTCTCTCTAGACATACGATGCATTTTTCAATGTTCTGTCTGGAATAGGAATATAAATAGAACTTTCAAGATGCTCCTGTCAGGCTTATTCTAAGAGCAAGCATTTTTTTTTATTATTTAAAATAAACGTTTTAGAATTAAAAGGATAAAATGTGATTCCCAAAAGAATATTCTCCTTCCAGCCAAAATGAAGTAGGTGGGACTAGATTCACCCTACCACCAGGAACAACCAAAATTGCTCAGAAAAAAAATACATGAAAAAATGGTTTTTGAGACCCTACATATCAGTTACTGAAGGACAGTAACCTCTAAAAGAAAATTTGGGAGAAAAGCTTTGGCTTGGACACCAGAAACATGACTCATAAAAGAAAAAAGAATCAGTTGGGTTTCACTGAAATGGAAAACTGCTCTTCAGAAGATATTGCTCAGAGAATGAGAAGCCACAGACTGGGAGAAAATACTTGCAAATCATTTATCTTATAAAGGAACTGCATCTAGATTATACCAAGAACTCTCAAAACTCAACAATCCAATTAAAAACAAGCAATTCAATTTTTTAAAAAATGAGCCAAAGAGCTGAACAGGCACTATACCAAAGAAGACATAACGATGGTAAATAAGCACATGATAAGATCATCAATCATTAGGGAAATGCAAATTAAACCACAGTAAGACACAACCACATAGCTATTTCCATGGCTACAACTAGAAAGACGAATCACACAGCAATGATGTGGAGCGACTTGAACTGTCTTGTCAAGGGAACATACAGCTGTACAGCCACTTTGGAAAAGCATCTGGTGGTCTCATGAAAGATGAAGACACATCAGCTGTACGACGCAGACATTCCACGACTAGTTACTCACCCAAGAAAAAGAGAGCGATGCCCAGTCCAGGGCTGCAAACATATGTTCAGTCCAGCTTTATCTGTAAATGTTCCCCGTCTCCCAGTCTGGAAACAACCCATGTGCCCATCCACAGGTGACTGGGCTTCCAAAATGTGGCACAGCTGTACCATGGATGCTGCTCGGCAACGAGTGCAAGTATTCAAGTGCACGACAGGATGCGCATTTCAAAATAAGCATGCCAAGGGAAGGCGCTGGGCAGAAGAGGCTATGTGCTGTGTGATTCCATGTATATTGAAATTTAGAATATATAAGCTAATACTATAAACTCTAAATATACAAAACTCTAAAATATACAATCTAACCTATATTTCCAGAAAGCAATATAGAAAGCAAGTAGGGAGCAGCAAGTAGGAAGAAAAGTTAAAAACAGGTACAAAGAAAGTTTTGGCGTGGTGGATGTGTTGTTTGTCTTGTGGTGATAGCTTCATGGGTGTATACCTTTGTCAAACTTCTCGTATGGTACACTTTAAATATGTTCAACTTATTGTGTACCAATTATACCTTGATTAGAAATTACTAAAAGGACAATGATTTGCTCTGGGAAATTTTGCAGAAAATCATCACCAGGGTACAGCCACCTGGCAACTGTTCCTTGCGCTCCTGACTGGCGCCTAGCACCATGCAGCTCACAGAAGGGCGCTGGCACACGTGGCCCGCTGTGGCGCCCCAGGGGTTCCCACTGTGCCGCTCTGCTGAAGGCAGAGATTCTGAAAGGCTACCGAAAAAAACCCTTTAGCTCCTGTTGTCTCATTCCATGCAAACGGCTTCAAAATGCATGATCCATTAACACGCGTTGTGATAACTGCACCCTCGTTTAGCCATTGCACTCACGCCTGCCCGTAAATTTGAACAAACAAGAGAATTCGGCAAGAAAGAACCTCAGTGCCCCCTTCGAAGCTACGCTCAGAGGGACTTTTGACACAACTAGCAGAAGAGAGTAATGGTGCCCTCGTTCTCACGTAGATGGCCCATAGTCTAGGCTCTGGTTTCCTTTTCGTTCCTCTCGTGTGAGTTGAGGAGCCCTTCATTTGGTGTGTTTGCTTGTCTGCCGCCATTTCTTATTCTTAACACTGGCCATTAAACCACAGTCTTTAGGCCACTGATAATTAACAAAACTATCCATCACCAAATTTACCTTCTGGGAATTTGACTCATACGATATGACAAGTTCAGAGGAAGCAAAGGTCAACCTAATATGCAATGGGTCTTCAGTGTAAGTCACTGGAACGTGACACTTATCAAAGAACCGATGGAGAGAGAACGCTCCACTGGCATAACCGGGTTTCTAAGGGATGAACCATTAGTTCAATAGGAATACTATTATAGTATTGGGCATCGCGTTTGCAACGTCTTCCTAACATAGAGAAATATTTGAAGATGAATTTCTTAGGCACATCTATGGGTTGAGTTTGGCCAATAAATTTTCCAAAGAGAGGTATGCAGACCTACAAACATGAAAAACCAAATTAGCATGACTACATACAACTTTTTTTGAGCCACAATGGGAGAAAACGCTTACAAAGTGAAATGAGAAGCCTATTTTAAATGACATAAAGCAAGTGATCAATATCAATATTTTGTAGAAACCTTTAACTAACACCTCAGCTACATCTGTAATTGGTTAAATTAGAAGAAAACAAGCTCAGAATTTGCTTTCTGTATTTACATTAAGACAAGAAAGGTGACTCCTATGAAGATTAGTGAATATAGGATTCAACATTTGGCAAAGGTTGAGATGACCCAAGCTGGCGCAGGCCCACTAATAATGTTTTGGAAAGATTGGGTTATTACATTAACAGCTGTAGAAGATGGACACTATTTATGCAATGTGAAAGCAAACATTTTCACTAAGCAAACATTCCCTAAATTGCAAGCAGACATGTGAAACTTGATCTGACCCTGGGCCAGGGCATGGGTTTTGCCATTGCGCTGCACGTTTCTCCGGTCCTGCTCAGAAAGGGAAGGAGCCGCACCCTTGACTTGAAACGAAGTTTGTTAGAAACATCAGCGGAAGAAAACTTTCCTTCCTCATCAGTTCTCACCTCCTGCTGCCTCCCACTGGGTAACTTACCTCTACTCTTCTCAAAGGCCCAAGAACTCTCTCAACCCTCCAATTTCATTTGGTGAACAGTGTGTGGTTGCTGATCCTTCATTTGAGAGCATCAAGGGGCAATACTTACATCATGCATGGAGTCCAGAAGCTTGGTCAGTTGATAGAACCTCTGCCAACTCTGTCCAGAATTGTTGGGACACTTAGTTACCATCTTCCTCAGCTCTTTGATGTAATTTGTCCTCATTTCTTCAAATACAGCTTGGCCTTTGAGGCCATCCTTTGGAACTGTGTTTCAAGGATAACAGACATGTAAATTTCCAGGACGGAAAACAGCTTTCGCATCTTAGCGGTTAAATGGCTTTTTCCCTCTTTTAGGTTGATACTGAATCTCAGTTAATTGTATTTATCAGTAAATAAGGCAGTTAGTTATCTATTGGTAAACTCTTGTACACACACATAGACAAAAGAATACTAATAACTGCTCTTTATCAGGTGTGTGTTGTTATACATTTTGCATTTATCAGCTCACTTAATCTTGACATCAGTCTGATGACATAACCGTTATATTATTATTTTGCAGATGAGGAAACTGAGGATTGGAGGTTTAAACACTTGTCCGAGGGCCTGGTACATGGCAGAGAAGGGACGTAAAGCCAGGCTGTTCTGTTTCCAAAGCCTGTCTCTTGACCACAATGCTTCATGGTCTTGTGGCCTGTCATCAAAGTGTTTTATGGATCCTGACTTGCCAACACCTCAGAGGTAGGAAAATATACTTTGATTTTCCAGGACAACTGCAAGAGCCACTGACAATCCAAGCTGGAGCTAGAATTAGAAACCAATGTCTCCATATTCAAGTTCAAATATCAAAGACACTTGGGGAGACTGGCCATCTACCAGGGGGAGACTATGCATGCAAAGGAGCACTTTCCATTCTCTTTGCCCCAGATCACATGATCACTGAGGCACTGTCACGTGACTTCACGGACAATCTGGGTGGTGGGGGTGGGGTGTGTGCGCGGTGGTGTGGTGTGCAGCGGGTAACACAACAGTGGCTCTGCAGCCAAGGGAAAATCTTAACCTTCCAAAGAGTAAACCAGGATCATCTTTATCTTTGATAAGGTAGAAAATAAAGGATACGTTTTCTTTTTTCCTTTTATGTAGTGACTAGCTTTTGTATTTAAACGCAAATCAAATCTCACTCGGAAAGAATCTTTAAAATCCTTTGGGATTCAGGACTTGGAAGCATATGATGCGCCTCTGTGACGTGCTGAGAGGCCTGTCCCGGGATGCCCAGGACAGCACTGTGTGGAGAAATGGCGCACCTGCGTTGGGGAAGGAGGTCACGGCTGAGTGCAAGCTAAAGCTGCTCCCCTTTGAAAATCTACTTATGTGCCTGTTTTTTTTTACCACTACTGTCAATAAATAGTTATGTTTATGCTTTAACTTTCCAAAATAAAATCCCTATGAACTTTATTTTTAGAAGACCTACTGTAAATTCATTTGTGGTATTAACATTCTGAGTTGGAACCTGCTCGTACTGTCATTGAATCACACAGCATGTTTGTTAATTTACCATAACTGGTAAAGAAAATAATTGGCTGGGGTCATCCGTGCTTTCGAATGGCTAAGTATGTTTCTGAATATCACACGCAATCCCGGAAGCCAGAAATACCGCTGTTTGCAAATAAACCCTGTGGTCCTGTAAAGACATGGATGATCTTGCAAAATTAACTTCACATATTATGTTAATAATGTTCTCTTTTAGTTTAATTGTTGAGGCTTTTGATTGTGGTTTGTCTAAGTCTATTTCTGTGGGGGAAAACAAATCCCTAATAGCAACTGCACAAATTCCTGAAGGTTCTACAATATTAGTTGTGGTTTCGAATAAATAGCATTCACATTAAGAGTTAAATACCATCCATTACATAACCGATAGATTTTTCTTTCTTTAAAATTAAAATCTTCTTTTAAAAGTATAAAAAAACTAAACAAAGATGGTAATAATCAGGATGTTAATATTAAAGCTGTAGATCCATTTTCTATCAAAATTTTAATATTAACTGAAAACTTTCTAAAAGAAACTGGAAATTCGCAAACAATAGACTATACTTCCCACCCCACCCACATGTTAACATTTTTTAAAGATAACATTTTATGGAATAAACTGTTTTCAATTTGGATGTTTATGGGTATCAACCTATACCTTAAGAAGTTTACCTAAAAGTAGAGTAAGTGAACACATTTCACAACTATATTTCAATAGTATGTGGCACATATACTAAGATTAACCAAAGACCTTCCTATTTCTGATAGCTGCATTCTCAGAAGTTCTCAAAGTACGAGCAACCTGTGTCAAACATTACTTACATATTACTGCTATGACTGAAATATATTGTACCAGTTTCCCAGCTACCTATTTTAGAAGCTGAAACAAACCCACAGATAAAGAGAACTTCAGCAAAATCTATATTTGGGAGGTCTGCCCAGATTTTCTGAATTTACCTATTAGGAGGTGTAGCAGGGCTGATGGAAATCACCCCAAATCTATGGCTGGAGAAGCAAAGAGACAACTGGGCAGAAGCTTGCCTGCCTTCCTCAGTGAGCAGAAGGACACAGAACTCTGATGTCACTGCTAAAAACCAGGCACCCTGGGCATCAGACGTGCCACTTCACATCCTAAGTAAGAGGAAGAATGTTCAGGCGTCCTCCCACAGATCTGCAAAATAAGCGTACTAAAGCCCATGGTTTTTATGGCTCCTAAAATTCTTATGTTTTCCTATCTTTTTATTTTGCTTTTCCTGCATCTATAAAAATCAGAATTGAAAGTACTGAGCTCCTTAGAAGCTAATACATCAACCCAGACAGCTTCAAAATTATATCAGAATGTATCACAGGCTGGCTGATTAAATGGACAGGGGTGGGCAGAAGTGGGTTTACGGTTGTGTGTATGGAAAAATACCAATTAATAAACAATAATACAAGAGGAAATGCTGTTTTGGTACTCACAACTGCAAGCCTACTTTTGTCCACCCCTGTGTATAAAATGGTAAGACAGCAATTAAGATTGAGTAGTCAAAATTAATACAGAATACCACCTAAGTTTTTAGAAAAAATATTTCATTTACATTTTACATTTTCTATCGCGCGCGCGCGTGTGTGTGTGTGTGTGTGTCTGTCTGTCTTCCACACTGGCTCCCCACCCCCTCCGACGTCTGTGTCTGTCCCTTCAGCCTCCGCCGCCCCCTTCTCAGAGTCAGCGGGACCTGTTCCCATCTTTCTGTGGCATGGCAACCCCACTCACCAGTGAAGTCTAGACTGCAGTTTTCTATAAGGATCATTTCAAGTTCATATCTCAATATCCGAACCTGTCTTCTGACTTCCGGTCCCAAACTGTCTCCATCTTTTGGCCTCTCTATTAGGATACATCTAAAAATTAACCTATTCAAAATAAAACTCTTTTTTTTCTTTACTCCAAATCCGCTCCAAGTCTCAATGTTAACACGTTTCTCTTACTGGTATCACTACCACCCAAGTCACTTCTCTGTGCTCAAAACCTGTGTCTCTTCTGACCCAGAATGTTTTCCTCGCCTCTTCCGGTCAGTTGCCAAGGCTAGCTCTGCAGTCTTTCTTGAATGTGTTTGCTCCTGTGCATCGTACAACCAACCACCACCATCCAGCCCTTGGTGTCAGCAGCCTCACAGGTCGCTATGCTTCCCCGTAGGACACAGTCGCTCTCTCCTTGCTCCCCGCCCCCCCCCGCCCTTCCTCTTTAATCCAGCTGAATGCCCCATACATCTTCCTAAAGACATAAAATACAGCTTCAGTCACACCATCCCCGCTGCTCACAGCCTCCAACATTTAGAGCTCTGCCTGCCTGGCAAAGGTAGGTACTGAATATGCGGGTCCCATCTACATCCCACCCTTATCCCCCATGGCCCCCCAACCTAGTATAACCAGATGCACCTTGAAAAATTAAATACTTAAATGCAATAAAAATTTAAAAATTAACAGGCAAAACAACTCCCCAGAACTAAGCATGGCGGCCTGGCTCCGCTCTCCCACGTTTCCACAGTCCCTCACACGGCTCCCTGATGAGAATGCATCTCACACCTCATACCCAGTCCGTAACCCTTCCAAGCTCCCCCCATTCAGCTTCCCGAGTCCCTCCCTGCGCCCCAGACCTGACCAGCTCTTCCCTTCTCTGAGCCACTGCAACACTCTTTATCATAGTATGAAATCCCTTTCCACAGTGCGTTGAAGTTATGTCTAAATTGAATACCTTGTGCCTCATTGCACTGTAGTTCCTGAACTGCCCAATCCTACCATACGCACAACAGGCACTTAATGAATATTTAGCAGTCGGATGAATGAAGGAATGAGGGATGAATGAGGGATGTGCTCTTCCATGTACCCCAAGCTTCATCCTCTGCAAATAACCGAGCTCATCAAAGACCAGGGCCCTCCTCCCACCTCCTCCAGTTTTTCCTTTTTACACCAACCACCTGATACTCTAAACAGGCTACTCTTGGAAAGGGGGATGGTCTGACAATGTAGAAAAGGTGCCCATGGGCGCCAGCTTACCCGTGCTTAGCAGCAGCAAAACCTTCATGACGGTGTACTCTTCAAAGGTGAGCTGCAGTCGGACGAACTGGAGGCTGATTTGGTGCATCCCCTGGCACAGCTCGTACATGGCAGACTGATGCATCTTCTCTCTGCGGAGGCAAAGAAACAAACGTCTGAGAAAGCAAGGTTTGTCGTCAAACCCAGACTGGCAGGCCAAGGCAGCCCAAAGAGAGATCCGAGTCACAATGTTCCTTTCGGCGTCAACATGGAGCAGATGTGTATTTTAAAGACAAAGCAGAAACCTTTCCCACCGACAGGTGAGCTGCTCTGGGCCAACACTGCAGTGCCATTCCCTCGCACCCTGTAGGAATGCGTCAGGGGCAGGAGATCAGCCAGCGAGCAGAGAAGCCGCTGCATGTGTGTGTGTTGCCGGGGGAGCACAGGCCCGTTCCTTGTCAGCCTGGAGAGACTGCTGGGCGCTATGAACACAGGCTAGTGATCAAATCCTGTTTCCACAGGGACCCTCTGTCCCTTACAACAGTCTGGAAATAAGTTTGTTGACTGTTTGCAGAAGCACATTTAAAAGGGGAAAGTAGACAAAATTTGGAAAGGTGAAAACCTCAAATGGACTCTCTCTCCTTTAAAGGGAGAGAGCGATGTGGGAGTTGGCCATTTGTTTCCATTCATTCAACCAACCAGCCAACCAACCAACCAATCCTCTTCTACTAAATCCAAAGGTTTCCATAAAATCCACATTATATTACGACAGACATCACTACTTCCTCTTTCCATGAGAAGTAAGGCGTTGCTTAGGTCTTTCAGATGTATGTCCTCCTAGAAATAAATCTTTGGGGAGGCCCTGGGTAACTACTGCTTTATATTGACCAGAATGTAATTAGTGAAAAAGAAACTGCTAGTGAAGAATGGGAAAGGACTCGTCAAAGGCCAAGAAATGGAAGAAAAGGTCAGGATGGTGGGCAGATGCCCGAGTGACTGAAAGCAGGTGAGCGTCTGCAGGAAAGCAACCCTGCGATGCCTCCTCTCGGGGGCACTCCTGGGTTCCACTGGCAGAAATCTCTCTCATCTCAACACTGAGAGCCTTCGGTAAAGAACCCACAATGCGCCACAGAACATTTTGCTCTGCATCATGATTATTATGTCTTTCCTCCCCCATAATAAGCTGGAAGCTATTTTCAATTAAGGGAATATTTTAAACACACACACTCACACAAACCCAACAGAGAATTAACAGCAGGAGCCTGTGCATCTACAATCCAGAATTAACAATGTAAATCAGCGCTAATATGTTTGCTATATTTGCTTCAGATCATTACAAATTAAACACGACAGAGTTCAGGTCTGTGGCGTCCTCTCCGCTGTCCCATTCATCGTCCTCCACCGAGCGCGCCGACGGCCACGCTTTCCATAGGCCCTGAGCTTCCCCCCATGCAAGGAGCCAAGCTCATCAAGGGCCAGGGCCCTCCTCCCATCTCCTCCAGTTTCCCCTTTTTATACCAACCACCTGATACTCTAAACAGGCTGCTCTCGGAAGGGGGATGGCCTGAGAGTGAAAGGACAACGCTGGATGAGCAGAGCCAGGCTACTCACTTTGAGTGATGGCCACTTCCCCGCTGATGCATGTATTTTACGGTACACATATGTATCTATAAACACAGCACACGGCACTGCTGTTTTATGTAAATTTGAAGGTAGATATATATGTGCACATCTGTCTGCAACATTTTTTTATTCAGTGTTGTCATTCTGAGAGGTATCCATTTTAACACCGGTAACTCTTAAGTTAACTCATTTTTACCGCTACAAGTTGTACTTGTGTGGTAATATCATAATTCACTAATGCACTCCACTACCGATGGGCACTTGGGTTGCTTCCTCTTTACCGCTATTGGGATGCTCGCGGGACACCCTTGAGCACTTCTCTAGGACACAGAGTGGAAAACACTGCTGCGTCGTAGGCCTGCGGACAGCTGTGGCTTTCCTTCCAACCAGCAGGAGACGAGAAAGTCCTTTTTTGTTCCACATCCCCACCAATAGTTGTCATTAGCCAGTTTACACTTTTGGCCATCTGATGGGGGTTGAAAGGGTAGCCCCACTGTTGATCCTACGTGTATTTCCATTATCACCAGTAGGCTGAACATTTTTTCCAAATGTTTTCTGATGATTTGGGTTTTTTTCTTTGGTGACTTGTCTCTTCATATCTTTACCCATTTTATTGTAAGCTGTTTTCTTTCTAGCAGTAATACCATCCTTAGTCTTAATATTTTTACCTTAAAGTTTTGACTGATATTCCTATTATTTCTTCATTTTTCCCTCCCTTTCACCCTCCTTTTTCTTTTGCTCTCTCTTTAGAATTTGCCTGATAAGCCCTTTCTTAAAGTCCCTTTTATCTAAACTTCCCACATAATTATATTTCATGTGTCTCTTATAGACAGCAAAAGGCTACATTAAAAATATGAAGGTATTTATATTTTAACAGCTCAGTTTTACTGTTTTCATTTACCATGATTACTGACATATTTGAAATTTTTTTTCTTACCGTTTTAACTTTCTCTCCTTTTTTTCTACTTCCCTTCCTTTTTATTGGATTGATGCAGTTTTTTAAAAAAATCCCCCTCTTTGCTCCTCAACTGGGTTTGGAAGGTATACATCCTATTTTACTCTTTAAATAATTAAGTTATCAACTTGCATACTTAAACATCTAAAGTTAATCAATAGCTTTTCCATGAGAAACAAATGTACATTATCTTTGGTCTACTGCTTCCCATCTCCCTTGTTACTGTGCTTTATTCAAATTCCAACTTGCTTTCAAATCACCCCTGAAATTTGACACCCACAACCATGTCTGGCTGGAGTTACCAGTGGGTTTCTCTGGCCACCGCTGCTCCCCGCATTTCCCTCCTTACTTCTGGGCTCAATTTCTCACTGAAGATTTTTTAAAAAAATTCTTTCTGTTGCTGAATTTATATCTTTCAGCCTTAAGTTGTCTGGAAAAGTCTTTCTTTCTCCTTCATTCTTGAATGATAGTTTAAAAGAGATTTCTAACCTGACAGGTAATTTCCTTCAGTATTTTGAAGATGGTATTCCGCTACACCTGGGCCTTTACTGATTGCTGCTTTTAGGAAGATTCTTCTGAATCTATTCATCATTCTTCTATAGGTAACCTGAATTTTCTCTTTGGCTGCTTACAAAAACTTCCTCTGTTTATTCGATGTCTGTGGTTTCACTGTGAAGTACCTACGGGTAGACTGATTTATACTTCTCCTGCTCAGGACTCAGTGTCCTTACTGGATTTGAAGATGTAGGGTATTTCTTCAGTTCTGAAATGTTCTTAGCTGTTGTTTCTTTAACAATCATCCCACCCCAGTTGTACTATTTTTTTCTTGTTGCACTCTATTAGCAGTGTGTTGGACCTTCTCATTTTGTCTTCCATGTTAGCCTTCCTTTCATATTATGTTTTTTTCTTACCAGGTTATATTGCATTCTAGGTGTATTTCTCAGATCTGTTTTCTAACTTTTGTGTGTGTGTGTGTGTGTGTGTGTATGTCCAGTCTATTGAATGTCTACAGTGTTTTAATTATAATGGTAATATTTTTCATGTCTAGGTGCCAAGATATGTTGTATTTAGTTCTTTCTCAAACATTTGTTATTTTGCACAAGATACTTACTACTTACTGGTTATTACACCTCCTTTCTCTAAATTATACCTTTATCTATTATATTTCTAAGTACTTTCAACTTTTTTTTTATTGTTTCTCCTATTTTATTTAATTCAATTTCTTGAGATGCTCATATGCATGTCCAACATGTATTGTTTTGGCATATGTTTGTCTTCCAGGTGATTCCTAGGGGCACTGACTTGTGGAAGGGACTCTGTAGGAAACTTTAACATTTGTGACCATCAGGGGAATATACATTTCACTTGTTCTGGACCAGTTTTTATGCTAATTTCTCAGCTCGATGCTTTTTGTGAGACTGATGTAGTTTAAATTTAGACTCCACACTGGATGTGGTGCAGGCTTGTGTTTCTTATTTCTTTCAGCTTCTTTGCCATGTCCCTGGGCTGGCTGGCTGGCTTGTTGAGTTTTACTTTCCTTGTTCGTAGACAGAAAAGTCTTTACAGAGCCCTGGCTCGATGAGGGGACTCTATTTCAGGCCCAGCCTTGCTGGAGCTTCAGTTCTTGTGTGCTATTCTTGTTGGGGTTCTAATACCAGTCCAAAGGCACTTATCACAGTCAGTAGTTTGTGGTCCAACTGCAGCTTCAGCTCCAAGTTAAACCACTCTGGCTGTGAATTCCTTGTTTTTGCACTGTTTTTCTTTTGAGCTTGGCTATATATGTAAGGCTTTTTTAAATGCAGAATTTCTATGTGTTTAGAGGGGAAAAAAAAGGCTCAGTTCAGGTCCAGGATTCTGATTGCTAGCTACAAGCTTCTTAAAGGCAGGCTCCATGCCTGACTTGCCTCTCTGAATGTCCAATAGAATATGATAGACAAGTGCCATGTGTCAATTTTTGCTAAATAAATGTTGCATGAATGAATGAGAGAGAGAAGAAAAAAAGGAGAACAAGTAAAGAAAACCAAAGGAAATGAAGACACAGATTTGCCTATGATGATGATAATTAGAGAAGGATAAATTTGAAAATTTACAGAAAGAGTCGATAAATGGCTAAAAAAAAAATAGAGGTAGCATTTGTGAAGTTCTCAAAAAGTTTCTCTAAAAAGGAAGAGATTTAGATTGTAAAATGGGGGGAAGCAGATTGGTAATCAGGATGTCCATGGAATACAACACAACATGCACCTGACGCTGTGCAGTGAAAAAGCGCACTCATATACGTTCTACCCCTTAAGCTACCTTGTGCTGGAGGCAGAAGAGGCATCCTTGGCTTTACTACAACAGACCCTAGAGATGTGCAGCCCATCAGCCCTTCAATGCACTGACTTTGTGAGCCTGTGACTGTGTTGCTCCTGAGACCCAGGTTTGTTGTGTGTAAAATAGGGATATTAATTATAATTCCAACCTTCGAGGGGTATAGGAACCAATTATATAGAAGTTCTTAAATTATAAAGTGCTACACATATGTTGGCTCATTTTTAAAAAATGTAATGGAGAGAATAAAATGCTTCTTGAAAG